GAGAGAGAGAGAGAGCTATGGGTCAAACGGTTCGACAGGGGAATTGGGATGAAGGGAGCAAGTCGGACTACCAGGAAGTGAAAACTGGTCTAGGTAATTTATAATTTATAAAGCTTCAATTGATAATTTGATTCTTTTGCACACAAAAACCCAACACCGAAGGGATGTAGGCTACTGTAGGGGGTGGGGGGAACTAAAGTCCCAAAAACAACAACAACAACAACAACAACAACAACACCAGCAGCAGGAAGAAGAAGAACAACAACATCAGCAACAACAGCAACGACAACAACAACAACAGAAACAATGACACAACATTAACAGCAACAACAACAACAACAACAACAACAACAAAAACAACAACAACAACACAACAACAATTATAATGACACGACAACAACAACAACAACAACAACAACAACAACAACAACAACAACAACAACAACGAAACAACAACAAAAACAACGTCAAAAAAGAACCGAGTTCCCGATAAGAATTCTTCTTGAACGAAATCCTGGTCTTCTGTGAGAAATAACGAAGCGTCTAACCGCTACACCACCAACGTCTGTTTGTGTACTTAGTCAAATGTGAGTTTGAACTGCAACTACAATGTATAGATCTAGATCTACAACGTGACTGATGTGATTATTCGACTAAGAGAACTGCTCCTGAAACATTATTATGGTACCGTCTGGTTAGTGCAAAGACGTGCGGTTTTGGATGCTTACCATTTCTGTTCATGTTTGTACAACTTTATAACTATGTGAACCCGGATGTTATTCTTCTATACGGCGGTCGAACATTCTACCAAAGTGGCACACCTATGAGATCTTCTTTGAATTTATAAATTTATAAACACAACAAACGTGGTTGGCAAAGTATAGATCTACTGTTAGATGGATACTTATAAACAATGTATTAAATCAATTAAAATTTTCAAAAATAAACAGGAATATCCGGGTTCATGTAGGGCATTTATCTGCGTAGGTTTTGTTTATAAGCCAAACAATTTAGCAGCATTGCTTGCTTTTTTGTGCCCCCCCCCAACCCACGTCTCTCTCTCTCTCTCTCTCTCTCTCTGTGTG